AGACAACAGTGGTGGATGATCACAGGATCCTCTCTATGATAAAGAAAAACACATTCACAACATCCAGACAAGTGAAGGAGACTCTCCAGGAGGTGGGCGTATTTATTTATTTTATTCATTTCAGGTACTTGTATAGCGCCATCAATGTACGCAGCGCTTTACATATATATTGTACATTCACATCAGTCCCTAACCCTCAAGGGCTGTACAATCTAAGGTAGTATTATTGTCAAAGTCTACAATCAAGAGAAGACTTCATGAGAGCAAATACAGAGGGTTCACCACAAGGTGCAAACCATTCATAAGCCTGAAGAATAGAAAAGCCAGATTAGATTTTGGAAAAAAACAGCTAAAAAAGCCAGACCAGTTCTGGAAAAGCATGTTTTGGACGGATGAAACTAAGATTAATCTGTACCAGAATGACAGGAAGAAAAAAAGTGTGGAGAAGGCTTGGAACAGCTCATGACCCAAAGCACACAACGTCATCTGTAAAACATGGAGGAGGCAGTGTGATGGCATGGGCATGCATGGCTTCCAGTGGCACTGGGTCATTGGTGTTTATTGATGATGTGACAGAAGACAGAAGCAGCCGGATGAATTTTGCAGTGTTTAGAGATATACTGTCAGCTCAAATTTAGCCAAATGTAGCAGTTGATTGGACGGCGCTTCACAGTACAGATGGACAATGATCCAAGACACACTGCATAAGCAACCCAGGAGCTTTTGAAGGAAAAGGAGTGGAATATTCTTCAATGGCCGAGTCAATCACCTGATCTCATTCCAACTGAGCATGCATTTAACTTGCTGAAGGCAAAACTAAATGGAGAATGACCCACAAACAAAGAACAACTGAAGACAGGTGCAGTTAGAGCCTGCAAAGCATCAGAAAGAAGGAAACTCAGTCTTTGGTAATATCCATGGGTTCCAGACTACAGGCAGTCATTGCCAGTAAAGGATTCTCAACAAAATATTAAAAATTAACATTTTCTTTATGATTATATTCATTTGTCTAATTACATTTGAGCCCCTAAAAATGGAGGGACTGCGTATAAAAATGGTTGCAGTTCCTAAAATTTGTACTTGATATTTGAGTTCAACCCCTTGAATTAAATCTGAAAGGCTGCACTTCAAATTCATTTGGATTGTTTCATTTTAATTTATTCTGGTGTCATACAGAGCCAAAAGTATGACAATTGTGCCCGTGTCCAAATATATATGGACTTAACTGTATATACTGCTGATGAGAAAAGGTATTTAGCAGTTTATATTTACTCTAATAATTGCATTGCCATGTTCTGTGTACTGTGGAAGACTATATATAGTAAATACAGAGTCATGGATTTAGTACAACTTTAAATGGACTTCTCCAGCCTGCAGATGGCAGGGTGCCTCTCTCATTCTCTGAAGGAAGTGCAGTGTTACAAATCAACAAAGTGTGTAAAAAAATAAAAAAATTACCTATTGGTGTGAAATATGAGCGAGTATTTATTTAAAGGGTTAGTTCACCTTTCAAAAAAAAAAAAGCCTTGTTGGGTATGGGGTGCCTGTCGATAAAAACAAACTGTGTAGCTTTGACTAACATTGGGTAATACCCTTGCTGCAGGTGTAGGCCTTTTATGTGCCCCTTGAAGCATGGCCAAAATACTCCTCATATACAGTATGGCCTCTTCCCATCATGCCTTGTTGTTTGGATGTTGCTAAGACAATCCCAGCTGATTCAGACCCCTCACATGCGCTCCCTCTCCCCTGCAGCGATGGAGGAAATAATGGGCCAGACAGGAGTGGGAGTTTGAGAGCCTGCTCCTGTTACGGTGGGGGTGAGCAGTAACAGTTGAGAGTGTCTTAGCAACATCCTAGCAACAGGGGAGAGAGAGCACATGTGACAAAAAAGAATTTCTAATTTTTAAATTCCTCTGCATGTTATTGGGATTATCTACAGCACATCAAAGGATGTTGTTGCAAATCACCCTCTAAAAGAGAAATAATGTCCCATTGTGAGATGGTGACATATTAGATTAGATTAGATAGCACTTAAACATAGACATAATAGAAACATAATACATTTCTATCTGGGGCAAAAATCTTCAGCACAGAAGGTAATGGAAGAGAATGATGCATTATTATTGTGTATCTTTATTAATAACATAGTAGCTAAAAGTAATCAAAAAACTTCTATGCTGTCCTGTTGTCTTGAATTGTGCTTAAGGCTCCATGCACACTGGGCATTTTAATAAGACTGGTAGCATTAGCTATGTAAAGTTTTTCAGCGTTTTTAGCGTTTTTGCATTAGCATTTAGCCGCATTTGTGTTTTTTAGCATTTTTTTTACCAGAAAATTTTCTTGGATAAAAAAACTTCCAAAAACACTCGTTTGCCGCTTTTTACTGCACAGCGTTAGAGCGTTTTTACAGCTAAAAAAACCCTCTAGAAACACACTAGTTCTGGGGGTTTTTTTCCAGCCAAAAAACGTCCCAGCCAAAAAATGCTGATTACAGCTTATGTGTGCACGGACACATAGGATAACAGCCTGGGGAACTTACTGGCTGTAGCAAAAAAAATGCCAAAAGCCAAAAACAGCAGCAGTAAAAACGTCCAGTGTGCATGAGGACTTCAAATACAAGAGTAAGTGAACTCTCATAGACAGGGGCGGACTGACAACTCATGGGGCCCCTGGGCAATAGGGGATCATGGGGCCCCTGTGTCCTTGCCCAAACTCAAAAAAGCTTATGAAAAAGGTACCAGGGGCATCTCATGGGGCCCCTACTGACCCCGGGCCCTCAGACAGTGCCCGAGTTTCCAAATGGTCAGTCCGCCCCTGCTCACAGATGATCCCTTACTATTTCACTTGACTAAAGACACAAAGGACAAGAACATGCTTTTATTTACAAGGACTCACATTGTTGTGCAAAGTAGTTCCTATGTTGTAAGTAAAAAGTCTGTAATATACTACAACAGGACTTTCTTAGTCAAATACCCTTCCTCTTTTTAATGAAGGTAGTTTAATCTTGTGATTGCCATCAGGTACTGTACATTGAACAGTCTGAACACGTATAAGAAAGTAGTTTTGAACACCAGGGCCAAAGAAATAAAAATAGATGCAGATTTTCTGAATTTCATTAACATCCATTTAAATTAATAGTGCAGCTGATAATACAATCTTTTCAATGCCGTCTCAAAGTTCTAAATTAAAGGGCCAGTAAGTCTAAACTACAAGTTACCGTAAGGAGACCTTGTAATGGTTTTCTACATGTATTCTTCATTTGTTATATTCAGAAATAAAAATGCAATTTTTTACTAATTTTATTTTGGCTTTGTAAGGTAAATACAAAATTTTGCCTTTGCATTCCTTGAAGAGTGTAACATTTATTTGCCTTTAGTAAATCAACCGCTAAAGCTGGCTGTACACTGATTGAAATGTAGCCGATCCAGCAGAGTCCGTTAAAATTTTCATCAGTGTGTGGGCCCCGTTTCTCAACAGTTTGTTTAACCCCCTCACACCTAAGGGTAAAAAACAAATCTAAATGCCTAAGCACAATTCTGCAACGTTGACATGTTAGTAAAACCGTACATATCGTCACAACTACTTTGTACATCCAGGTGGATTATACCTTGTTTTTTTCAGGACAAATTGGGCTTTCATTTGGTGGTAAATGGTCATGGATAGCTCCTAATTTTTTTTTTTATTATTAAAGGAAAACTTAGTAAAAAAAAATAATTTTTTTTTTAAATTTAACTGTGTGTTTCTTGTTACGACCAAACCTACCACCAAAGAACAACCCAAAATACATTTTCCAGTTCTTGACGATCGCAGTGATACCATATATGTTATGTTATTTGTTTTTGTACCCGTAGTACAGCCCAGAAACAACAGTGCGCATTTTGTTTTTGTCTTTTTTTTTTTTTTTTTTTTTTTACATAAAACACACTGTCACTGACATTGACATTAACACTAACTGACACTGATACCAATTTTTTTTTTTAATCCTGACGTTTGACCCTGACCTTTGCCCTTGACCCTGACCTTTGACCCTGACCTTGACCCAAACACTAACCCTGGTACTGAACTAGATCAAACCTTGAAGGTATTTTTCTTTATTTTTTAATATTTATTTATCTTTTTCTTTTTTTTTTTTACAAACTTTTTTTTTCTCTCTCTATGTCAGGAGTTGAGAGATACAATGTATCTCTCTTTCCATTCATAGAGAGAGAGAAAACAAGGGGGCCGGGCTGCACAGTGATTGATCACTGTGATAGCCAATCAGAGGCTATCACAGCGATCACGTGACCCGGAATCAGGAGTCCCGGGTCCCGATCGTTAGAACGGGACCCGGGGCTCTCAGTGACACCGCGGTCTTGGTGCTGGGAGCGCGCCGAGCGGCGCGCTGTACGCAAATATGTGGCCCCACGGAAAAAAGCCCAGGTACGTGAGGCCGCATATTGTGTTACGTCGGCGTCAAGGGGTTAACCACTAGCCTACAGGGCACTTATACCCCCTTCCTGCCCAGGCCAATTTCCAGCTTTCAGCGCTGTCACACTTTAAATGACAATTGCGCGGTCATGCAACACTGTACCCATATGAAATTTTTATTATTTTTTGGAGACAAATAGAGATTTCTTTTGGTGGCATTTAATCACCTCTGAGATTTTTATTTTTTCTTAAACAAACCAAAATCCACTGAAAAGTTTGAAAAAAAAATGTTTTTTCTTAGTTTTTGTTATACAATTTTGTAAATAAGTGATTTTTCTCCTTCACTGATGTGCGCTAATGAGGCTGCAGTGATGGGCACTGATAGGCTGCACTGATGGACACTGATAGGTGGTACTGATGAGGAGGCATTGGTAGGTTGCACTGATGGGCATTGACAGGCATCACTGATGGGCACTGAAAGGCAGCACTGCTACATGACACTGATATATGGCACTGATAGGCGGCACTGATAGGCAGCACTGACTGGCACTGATAGGCGGCACTGACTGGCACTGTTAGGCGGCACTGACTGGCACTGATAGGCGGCACTGACTGGCACTGATGCGCACTGATAGGCGACACTGACTGGCACTGGTAGGTGGCACTGATTGGCAGCGCTGATATGTGGCACTGATTGGCATTGATAGGCGGCACTGACTGGCACTGATGGGTGACATTGAAAGGCAGCTCAGATGGGCACTGATATGTGGCATTGATGTGGCACTGATGGGCACTGGCACATGGCACTGGTGGGCACTGGCACGTGGCACTGATGAGCACTGACAGGTGGCACTTCTGGGGCCACACTGATCATCAGGGCACGCTGATCATCAATGCCCTGATGATCAGTGTACATGTCCTCTCTGTGGAAAGCCGATTACCAGCTCTCCTCTCCTCTCGAGCTGTCAGCGTGACAGCTCGAGAGGAGAGAAATGCCGATAACCGGCATTTCCGTGTTTACATGTGATCAGCTGTGATTGGACACAGCTGATCACATGACCAAGCTTCTTTGGCTGTGTTTACCAAGCCTAGAAGCTCAAGCTGATATTTACACAAATAACTAAGTGAACTAGAGCAGTGACGTATCAGACAGAACTTGCAAATTTCAATGGGAAACAGCATGTCTGAAATGTAAGTACTCATGCAGTGTTCTCACTTTACCTTACCTAGCTCATTGTGGGAATCCTTTGCCTTGTACAAATGCTTGGATCCTTTGACAAACTCATAATGACAAACCTTTTTGTTCCAAAAATACTTTATTGTTATAAGAGCTGACAAAAAAGCATTTAGAGCATGTACAGCCATAGATCACAGTTAAAACATAGACATGACATGTTGCTTCCCGTTTCGCAGACGGGACAAATTGTAAACAGTCATACAAGACGAAATGGTGTAGGACATTACATCAATCATACAATGCAAAATGGTGGATACCATGAGGAAAATGGATGAAGTGATGTTGGTGAATGTTATCTCGTCTTGACTCTCATCTTCTTTTTAAATGGTGAGGTAGTGTGATGAATAATGACAAAACGTGATAAAGTGCACCACTAAAATTAGGTACATGAAAGCAACAAAATCAATCAAATATTAAAATAAGTAAATTAAAATATATAAGTGACTGTTAATGCAAAAAAGGAACCCTGCAATACTCTGAGATTCAGTGCTTATGCAATCAGGAGCTCCACGATACTCCTTGGAGGAGCCAATAACGCCGTGACGACGACGCCGGAGCATCGTGGAGCTCCGGCGGCCATCTTTGAATCAGGACGGTTAGTCCCATTACATACAGTCATTTACTTGGATGCATACCATTTTACCCAGATACCTGTCATCATTACCTGGATGCTTTTACCATTAATTTACAAGTTTTACTACAGTAGGGGGATTTCTCTGTTTTAACTCCCCTGGGGAGTATTAATTTACAGATAACCCAGTATCCAGTCTCCAGAGAGGGAGCCCCTATACACCTGGTGAGCTGACCCGTCCATCACTTAAAGGGATCTCTGGCACCTTTTCGGTTCATTTCAGAAGCCCTAGGATCCACACCTATCCACTGAGGGATTTAACCCTATTCCTGCCCAGATTTGGATGGCCTTGATGACATCAATATTTTAAAAATCAGTGCGCATTATATTATGTGTTCCGGTGAGTGCGCATTTCTCCCACACCTGATTGCACAAGCACTGAATCTCAGAGGATCGCAGGATTCCTTTTTTGCACAACAGTCACTTATGAACTATATATATTTTAATTTACTTATTTTAATATTTGATTGATTTTTTTGCTTTTATGTACCTAATTTTAGCGCTGCACTTTATTTTATCTTGTCTGTTTGAGGTTTATTGGTTACCTTTAGTGCTCAGCAGCTTTTTGTACTTTTAAGTGCGCTCACAACCATCTTCTGTTATTTGAATAATGAAACTTGTCAGAAGTGACGTCAAACACCAAACGGAAGTTGCGCGGCAGCCATTTTGGATGAGGTCCAGTCCAAATTGTTTGAAATAACGCTGATACACATCACAACCATTTAAGTGCTTTTCATCTAATAAATTAGATGTTTTTTGACATATTACGTGATGGTGTCTATTCTGTTTTGATCTATACATATGGGCATTGTGACGGATCAGCAAGAGCAATATTGACTATGGAGCAGTCTATCTGTGAAAAGCTGTGTTTGCTTTACTATTTGGTAAGGTGCATGGTTTGGAAGGTGGTGGCTTTTCTTATTGTCTCACGCATTGGTGGTCATTGGTCTGTTATCACAGGAGCACAGAGTGGCACGATAATAATTGTTGATAATACTACACTATATGGAATTTAAATTCTGGAAGGAACGATTATTCAGAAAGAGTGATTTGGAAGCAATTGCGCACGAGTTGGGAATACATTTGAGCAAGTTTTTCATATTTAGAGGGTAAGAGTAGGAATTACAGATATCACATGTGGAAGGACACGTGGTGGAATTTTTTCATGCTTTGAGCACTTTTTGTGAGTGTATTTTAGTTTGATTTATATGGTATGGCATAGGTAATGCACTACTTTTTTTTGAGGGTTAAAAGAAGAAGAGGGGGTTGTCACTTTATTAAGAATTTTAAGAATCCTGAAGAATTGTAAAGACACTGAAGGATACACATTGATGGAGTTGATTTGATTGGACGCTTTAAAATATTTTGTTTATGTACAAACATTGTCTACATATAAAGTTAAATAAATTTAAAATATCCGTTTAAAACTTATAAACGTAAACAAAAAAATAATAACACATTTGACCCAAAACTATTATAGTTTGAATCCAGAAGGGATTCTCACTTTACCATTGAATACACATTTCAGTATGAAGCCACTGTCATAAGCCAATCTTTGGCTAAGGGCTCCTATATGATGCTAACATATCCATACTTGTATTTAGCCATCATAGATCTTGGACTGGGGAAATAGCTCTGTTAAGTTAGGTTCACACTGGTGCATTTTGAGATAATGCACACAATTTCACAAGTTCCCGAAAGTAGGAGAAACATGATGCTCTTTAGCAGCTGTGCGGGATGCCATTAATTCTTAATAGGATCTCCAAAAAAACATCTGTGCAGTTCTGTGCAGCACATTTTGAAAAAAAGGTCCGGGACTTTTTCCCCACTATTCTTCGGGTAGGGCAGCTGTTTAAAATTAATAGGCTGTCCCAGGGGCGGACTGACCATTTGGAAACTCGGGCACTGCCCGAGGGCCCGGGGTCAGTAGGGGGCCCCATGAGATGCCCCTGGTACCTTTTTAATAGGCTTTTTTTGAGTTTGGGCAAGGGCACAGGGGCCCCATGATCCCCTATTGCCCGGGGGCCCCATAAGTTTTCAGTCCACCCCTGGGCTGCCCTAACCACAGAACATGGGTCACACAGATCTGAATGGAGCTTCGGGCTGGGGTTTGGGTGACTGCAGAATATGCTGCTGATGGTCAGTGCAATATATTTTACTCATATAATGAAAGGTTTCAGTTCACCCCCTCCTATCAGAACTGACAAGCTGGGTTTGCTGCTGTCACGACTTTGCAAATTTGCTAGTAGCATATCATACAATAAACTTGCATTAAATCCATGCTAGGCCCACATTTCATGGTGGTTAGTTCCTTTTCTGGTTGTATCAGCATGGATCAGATTTTCAAGTTTCTGATTCTGATTGCATCAGTACAGTAACAATTCTTCGTATAATTCTATACATTATTATATTAGAAGCTTGACCTTGTAGCTAGAATGTTGATCTGGTTATTGTCAGCAGGTCTAGTCACGCACATGATGGCAGTTGGAAAAAATGAATAATGCTGACGAATCTCCTGCAGAGCAACCTTTCCATAAGCATACACTTCAGTCAAGACCAGAGGTATATTCAGTATGCAGCCAGCCTTAAAAAATGTGGGGGAGAGACAAAAAAAAAAAAAAACCCAAAGGTTTTGAGAGGGTTGGGGGGCTGACATAAAGCAGTTGGTTTTGGAAGCAAAACGTAAAAATCCAGCTCTGAATGCAGCATTAAAAAAAAAAAACAGTTGTCAGGCTAACTTCAAGGGACACTTTTACAATGGCATGCAGTGGTGCATAGTCCAAAATACTTCATCACTATACTTATAATGCTTAATAATACACTAATTTTGCCTATTATTGTTTATTATATTTTTTCATTCAAATCATTGTTTTCAACATTTTTAATTCAAATGTTAGTACCTGAATTTCTCCTCATACCAACTTCCTGGAATACCCTCTAAAGCAGCATTTACACCAAGAGAGGATGGATTACAATTAGGAGTGAATCAGGCTATGCTGCAGTACACATGTGCTGAGGATTAGGAATATCTTGCAAGGAATATGCTTCTTCATTGTCCACTGTACCAGCTTGGAGTGTTTTTTGAACCACGTGCTTCCACTACAATGGAGGTCCAAGACGAGGTTTTGCTGCTTGGTAGGGGTACCTCAGTTCCAAGCAGGGGCGGACTGACCATTTGGAAACTCGGGCACTGCCCGAGGGCCCGGGGGTCAGTAGGGGGCCCCATGAGATGCCCCTGGTACCTTTTTCATAGGCTTTTTTGAGTTTGGGCAAGGACACAGGGGCCCCATGATCCCCTATTGCCCGGGGGCCCCATGAGTTGTCAGTCCGCCCCTGGTTCCAAGACTGACTAAACAGAATATGTTGATATTGAACCTACTCCACTTAGCTACAGACATCCCTGTCCTGCATGAAATTTAGGATTCAAAGAATGGAAGCTTCCAAATGAAGACTTCTCTCACAGATATAAGACCACTGATTGGACAGAAGAATAAGCATACTTTAGTCATCACTTTAGTATACTCACATAGAAAACAATTGTTATATACAATGGTGTGTAGAGAAATGCAGCCCAATGGGTGGGATGAGAACAAACCCTTAGAATGTGTTCAGACAACTCTTTGGATTTCAGGAAAGCTTGATCGGCTCCTTATGTTGATCTTTCCTTTCAGAATGCTACTATACTGGGTAGTACAGGTAAGATATGATGGCAAGACAAATCCAGGTACTTACACTAGTTGCATCTAGAAATAGATGTAATAGCTTTAGTACATACATTAATGGTCTTTTGCGTAACTACCCAGCTGAAATTCCCTTAAAGTGGAACTTCACTCACCCAATCAACATGGACTATTTTTAATCCGTATGCTTCTAGCATTAGTAAATAGATAGGAAAGTATATCATATTTACTTGTTTTAAACTTTTTTACATTTCTTCAGTTACTTCCTGGTTTCCTGCCTACGCAAATGATGTCATACATCCCAGCAGTCTTCAGGAGCCTATGCCTGAGCTGCGGGCAGACGGATTGCAGGAAGTAAATGATATGTGAATCATCTGCCCTTACGCAAGATGGCCACAGCCAGAAATGTCAGGGAGTGTTTTTCAAAATGATTTCTCAGCAAAATAAAGCATGGAGAAATGAATGGATGGGTGAGTTTGCTTTGAATATTAAAAATGCTTCAAAAGGCATTTTTGCTTTGTGGTGTTCAGATGCAGTGCAGTTCCACTTTAAAATAAAAAGATAAATTATATTTACTGTGACTTTATTTTGGGGTGCTGTGACCTCATGCCAGCTGAGACTGACAACTGATCTCTATTCTATTACCAGTTCATATGCACCCTATTTTATTACGCCTCTTGTATATGAAGTCAAAACATTATATTACGCTAAACTAGTGCTATATATTATACTTTCAGCTACTATAGTATCCTTTATTTCTTAACATTCTTGAACACAAAAGGGAAAGAAAAAAAAGAGAAAAAAAAAACACGAACGGCATTAAGTAACAAAGCAAAATATAAAAGACTTAAAGAAAAAAAAAAGTCAGACATGAGGAATAAAGCTCCTGATTAATTTCCATCTCCTCTCTGTTCTCTCTTGTAACCTCTGTAGCCTCCAGAGAGGTGCTAATTAACTTTCCACAGTACCTGCCCTGCTCGGCTCCCCACTGCATCCACTAACACGGACCTGATGTGCCTGTGGAATTAAGATTTCTGTTTTTGACCTGGAACATTTCTGCAGAGGAGGACCAACCCTGGTCTCTCCAGGCTCACCTTTATTTGTGCAGACACTGCTGTTACTGTAATTCTTCTAGAAAAGTTATTTGTGCAGAGACAAGCCGTACCCAAGACAAATATGATGCTGTCTGCAGCAAGCAAGTTCACTTCTAGATTTACTTAAACTATGTAACAAGCCAATGTAATGATTAAAGTGCATGTAAACCCCAAATTTATTTTTCAGCATGCTTAGCATCATGCCTCACTCCACTGTTTTTTAAGTACTGTATATGTAAACCCTAACATTGTCAAACAACCTGTTCAGTTTAAAATAGAAAAAAAGGCAAAACATTTGGGTACATATAAAAAAACAATATACTGTAAATACTTTTTTTTTAAAATAAATAATGAGATGACCTAAATTCTCAGCTGCAAAGGGGCTTGCAGAGGTGGAGGTGGAGAAACAGCAGCACACTGATCTTCCTGTTGAATGGCTGTACAGAGGGGCATGCCAACACAAGCCTTGGCCTTTGGAGGACAAACAGTTGTGCTCCCTAAAATGGAATAAAATTAGACCAGTTCAGATAGTGAGTAAGACAGTTCAAAAAGGTGACTATTGTGCTCTGGTTAATCTGGAACCGGTGTCCGTGCAATAGTAGTGTAAGTAATGCACAAGGAGAGCAGCATGAGGGAGACCTACTGGCTACGTATTGCGTCACCGACTGCTGCAGCCTACCTTCACCTCATAGCACTTAGTGACCTATCCCGAAGAGAGGAGGAGGGGGGCACGCCATCTTTGTCGGCCTTTTGTCACCGGAGTGGAATTATAACCTCCAGCAGGAGCAGGCCTCAGTGTCTGAGCGACCAGCACCCGATACCCCGCACTTGACGGAACTTGGGAGACCTCCTTGCCCCGGCTGGCATGGAGGGAATAGCAGTCACCGACAAGAAAAGATACATTGCCTCAGGATGAACCTTTGCATCCATAGAGAAAATCTCCTACCCAGGGAGCAATGCCGGTTTAACCCCTTAAGGGGAACTCCGGTGGACGTGGATCACCTGTAAAGCCCCAAGGATCCTGTCTGATGACCTACCATCCCTTAGAGGGAAGACCACCCAGTTCCTGACTCCCCTTGATGACATCTGGAATATTGATATAATGCACATTTCATATGCGCGTACGGTGAGTGTACATTACTTACACTACTATTGCACGGACACGGGTTCCAGATTAACCAGAGCACAAGAGTCACCTTTTTGAATGATCTTACTCACTATTTGAACTGGTCTAATTTTATTCCATTTTATGAACTTTTTATGAATTTATATTGGAAACATATTTATAGATTTATTTATTTATTGACTTATTGTTATTTAATTTCTTAGCGCTGCACCCCCTTTCTACAGTCTATTATATAAGGTGTTATTGGTTACATTGTGCATAGCGGCTTTCTATATATTTTAGAGCGCTTGCAATTTTTTACACAGGTTGTGCTCCCTGCACAGCTAGGAAACTGACCACACTGAGATAATGTGCTCACATGCCTAGCATAGTCAGTTTTAAATAGAAAAGCAGGGGAAATGGCAGGATCACCAAGTATTTCACACAAAGGAAGCAATTCAAAGAGAACAGGATAATTTTTGATACAAGTACATGGGTACAACAGGCACATATCAGGAATATGAAATGTTGGGGTAACATATTCTTTAATCAAAACTTTTTTGTGAATTATTTCCAAAGTTTCTACCTGGAGAGACCAGCAGTAACAGCACTTCATGTTATAGGAGGTGCTAAGCCCATGCCACACAATAAGAGGCAGCATTTTCAGAATGCCATGTGAACGCCTTCGGTAGCATTTTAGACTGCCTATAAGGGCTATCAGAAAGACAGTCCATCGGCCAGCTGAAGATGCTCTCAGGGCAGGCTTACAATTCTGTTGTTAAAACTAATTGTGCAATGCGTTAGAATACATTAAAAAACTAAATAATGCAGCGCTAAATATGTACAATTCAGTATGCAAGAAAATGATGACCCGTGCTTCCAATTCCTTGAAGACGATATTTGTAATGAAACGTGGCATTGGGTGGGTGAGGCAAAGTGTCTGACGTTATGATGGGAGTTAACACCATTTTGCTTATTGCAAGTATTATTTAATGTTTGCTGAATTTGCACACAAACATTTTTTTGAAAGTGTACATACTAAGATTAAATAGTAGCTTTTAAACAGTACCACACTATGTTCAGCATGCTTCCTTTAATTATATGGTCCATGCAGGAAGAGGTGTAGCATGCCTGTGTGGCTAACTACAGTACCTGTAATCTGGTGGTGGTGGCTGGAATGGCTTGCTTGCATCTTAGCACAAGAGAATTTGGATCTTTTGTTTTCACAAGCACTATCGTGGACTTTTTATCACTTTATTATTTTGAATATAAAAAGGACTTTTTTGGGACTTTATTTCAGACATAACTTGCACATGATGTATTGTAGATTTGAAGGGATATTACCTATGTTTAATGTTTGTGAACACTGAGGATAGCACTTTACATGCATGGTTTTTTAGAAAAAAATGATTGTGTAACAATTCAATAAATATGCATTCCATGTGATATACATATAATGTCTAAACACCAACTCAAGTGTGAAAACAATTTTCCTTATACAATTAAGTGCTTCAGCATATATCAACAGTGTAAAAATATATCAAACCTGCCCTGCAGGCCAGAGTACTGGGTGTCATTCTGGACTCCAACCTATCCTTCCAGCCCCAAGTCCAATCTTTAACAAACTCGTGCAGACTCCACCTCCGCAACATCGCCAAAATACGCACGTTCCTACCCCCAGAAACCACTAAACAGCTCATCCACTCCCTCATCATATCACAACTCGATTACTGCAACTCCCTCCTCACTGGCCTGCCTCGCCGCTGGCTATCCCCGCTTCAGTCGATCCTGAATACGGCTGCCAGACTCATTCACCTTTCCAACCACTCCGTTTCCGCCACCCCCCTCTGCCAATCCCTCCACTGGCTTCCGATTGCGCAACGGATCAAATTTAAAATCCTAACACTGACGTACAAAGCTGTCCACCATACTGCCCCGAACTACATCACTGACCTAATATCCAAGTACCGCCCAGCACGCACACTCCGCTCCTCACACGACCTCCTTCTCTCTAGTTCCCATGCCCGCCTCCAGGACTTCTCCAGGGTGTCACCCATCCTCTGGAACTCCCTTCCCCAACCCATCAGATTATCACCTACTCTCCTTTAGGCGCACCCTGAAAACCCATCTCTTCAGGGAAGCCTACCCCACCCCCTGCTAACTTGACCGACCTCCTCCACTCTTCCTACCACTCCATCCCCCACAGCTATCTCCTCCTGTGCCACCATCCCCTCCCTCCTAGATTGTAAGCTCGAAAGAGCAGGGCCCTCAATCCCCTCATGTTTTGCATTGTATTGTGGTATTGTTCTGTCATATGTTCTGTCCCTTTTTGTAATGTACAGCGCTGAGTGAACTATCGGCGCTTTATAAATACTGTATAATAATAATAATAATAATAGTCTATTTGAAACAACAGGAATCCAATAATCTAAGCTCC